AAACCGTAGAAGGCGCGGGCCTCGGGGAGTTGGACGTCGCGCATGAAGCGGGCGGCCAGGTTCTCGAGGACGATGCCGTCGGAGGCGGCAAAAAAGGCGAGGACGTGGGAGACGAAGTGGCGCTCGTCGTCGGAGAGGCGGTGCTGCCACTGGGAGAGGTCCGGCGACAGGTCCACCTCCTCTGCGGTCCAGAAGGAGGCCACCGCCTTCTTGTAGAACTCCCAGATGGAGGGGTAGGTGATAGGAAACATGCAGAAGCGGTCAGGGTTCTCCGCCAGCAGCGGCTCCGACTCCTCCAGTCCTCGTCTTCCTTCTCCTTGGGAAGCAGGTGGCACAATCGCGGGCATGGCTGGTCGAGCAAGCCGGAGTGAACGGAAATTAGCAGTGGAGGAAGAAGGGGATTTATGTCTCAGACGAGGAGGAAGAGGATTGGGCGTATATATATATATATATATATATCGGGTGAGAGAGAGCCGGCGGGGGATTTGAATTTGGTGGGCTTCGGCTTGCAGTGGAAGGAGGAAGGGGTGAATGGGGGAACCGTGTGTCAAGTTACCGCGTCATTCTTGCAAGGGAAGACAAGGGAGGCTAGGGGGACCGTCGGCAGGCGGAAATTACCCCTTCAGCCACCTTTTATGTGATTGGACAATGTCGTTGGGCCCACAAACAAGCAGATCGATCCGAACGAGAGTACATTTGGAAGGTTCTGAAGTCGGGCGGGAAACTGTACAGCAATCTTGACGGCGTTAATGGGATGAGCGTTTTGGATCAGAGGGGAGCGGTTCCACGGGCGGCCACGTCACGAGATGACGGAGGCATACTCGTGTGGCGCCCGTGACGACAAGATGGTTCGGATCTCGTTGGCTATTGGAAAGCGAGGTGACGGGGCGCAAAATATCTGACGAGCCCAAAGGACAACGAATCTTATCCTACTGATAGGCAGCACGCATACACGCACGCACACTTCCGAACGCGGTTCACCTGCCCTGTGATTGGAGGCAGTGGGTGGCCCCCCCGGTTTGCAGTCTAAGTAGGTGACCATAAAAGCATCGCTCGCAGAGGAACATCACAAGAAATGGCGTCCAACCTAAAACCCAATCAGCTGCTACTTTGATTCTTGTGGATTGTCTAATGTTTGAATAGTTTGTGACTCGATTCATTCTTTTCTCTCAAGTAATTACTGTTCTCTCACGCACGCCGAAGTCCAACGTCCAACTGCGATAGCTCATGAACAAAGTCCGATGTAACACTGGGTGGGTCGTGCCAAGCCCGACCCGACCCGACCCACAACATCGTCAGGTAAGCATGTAACATGGACTGCATCGAAGCCTCAGTCCATCCAATTAGTGGACATGAAGCATCGAGTTTAACCATTGTTACTCTGCATTACATGTTGATTATGATCAAACTAATTTGATTGGATAACATTAATCCCAAAGGGTTAAACTTGTAGGAATCGATTCGATTTATATTATGTGCAAGTTTATGGTGCAAGTCAATTAGACGGGACATTACAGCATATATCAAGCCCTTGGTGTAAGCAAAATAGAGAGAATAACATTGCATAAGCATTAATTAAACAGCAAGCAACATGGAGAGAGACGAATATAAGATTTGAATCCGTAACTTGCTCTGGTACCATGAGAACTAAAATACAAGCCATGTAAGCTAAGAAATTTGGTGATATATAAAAAACAAACATATAATCAATAATGTGAGGAATATAATGAGATCAAAGACACACAATAATCCTCCGATGAGATGGGAGGACAACGATGTTGCATTGTAAGAGCCAACGTTTATGGCCACGAAATGGCATGCGACCAATAAAATTGTAAAAGATGAGCAATGGTGACAATATGATTAAAATGATGACGATTCATTTGGTTAAAATGTCATGCCCACTTAGTTGACACACAAGTGAATCCTTGACCTACAAGGTCAATGACATAAGGTCGATAGGGATACTGACACCATGCTAAAATCAAGGGGAGTCGTTACCCTATAATCATAATCTTACAATTTGATGTATGATTCTATGACTTGATAATAGACAAATAATCCATATACCCATTACCATTATTAACTACAACCCAAGCTCAACAATCACCTGACACACTATAAAACCTTCTCAAGTGTGTGCATCCTTGAAAGGAAGAACTCTCCTATCATCTCACTACATATTTGAATATACTATATTATTAATATCTAAGAGGCCTTTATCAAAATTACTCCCAACATAGTCTTACAAGATCGTCAATCAAATCCTAAAATTTTGTGTGATGTGTCGGGCAATCTGTCTGTGTGCTTCTGTGAAGAGTGTGGAGCAGTAAAGATGTTTGTAGTCTTTGATGCCATTGGCCGCAATCATATTCTTGTGGAGGGCAGTTGGGCCATCGCTGTTGCCTGCCTGCGGTACTTGCTTGATGCAATTAAGCATGTCAACTTCGCACCAACCTGTAACAGGCAGATCGCACACACATGATCGTGCTGCCGCCCAGCTTTTTGCTCCATTTGATTATTGGTTTCTACTATCCCCATCTGTTTCCTGGACAGTTGGATAAGGCCAACTTCGACATCACGATTAGCAGTTTCGACATAGAATCGTCTGTTTCGATTTTGAATTCATCAGTTTCAATTTGGTTAAATTTGAAATCAGAATCGGATCAGTTTTAGGCGAACCCAAGTCACTAAATGACTGTTTAAATCATCGGTTACAATTGATTAAAAAAATTAATTATTATATCAAAATTTAAATCAAAATTAATAAATTTAAATTACTAATCACTACATCATAGAATTGTCAACCTGTTGATCCAATTCAATTTCGATTCGAATCAACACGAATGGCTATTTATAAGAAACCTAGTGTTATCAATCAGTCAACTGATGTCGATACAGAATTGGGGGGTGTGGGGGGGGTGGGATCCGCAGTAGCAGATGGATGTGGATGGGTGATGCAGCCCCATTGACCCTCCAGCAGTGATGGGATGAACCCACTGACGTCCCTCTCGTATGTACATCACCTCGTCAACGCCAACCCGTCGCTTTTACAGCGAAGGGTGAGAGGGGCGTGGGTGGCGATCCTTAATGGTGGTGGGAGGCCGCTGTCCCCCAAAGGAGAAGAGGCATCTTCCCCACCCACATTACTCTCGGGCTGTTGCGGGGGTGTGGCTGAAAAGCATCAGCCCAAAAACAGCTGACATAGGTTGATGGGTGGGCTGCCTCTCACAGCACAAGCTTTGCCATCGCACAGCTTTTTCCCTCCAAGAGCAACTGGCCACCAACCCATGAGACATGGGATGCAGTTGCTGCCTGCCTATGGCTGATGTGATGGGCTCGAATGTTCTGGGTAAGTTAGATGCTGTTGATGCCACCTCATCATCTCCTCCTCTTCCTTTTCCATCCTTTAATTTATCTTAGTTTATCTAATAAAAATCTTTTGAATCGATGATGAAATTTAATTTTAAGATTTTTTTTATCGATTGAGTTGGATGACACATTAAAAAAAAACGTGGATAAGGGTGAGTAAGTTTTGATCATGTGTCATCCAACTCAATCGATAAAAAAAATTTTAAAATTAAATTTCATCATCGTTACTTACCGTTTATATTTAAAAAATTATTTATATAAATATTAGATTAAAAATCAGAGCCAGCATGCTATCATAACTGTCAGAAATCTAATAATGATAAATCTGAGTCAATTCAACCAAATATAATAATGATAAATCAATTTAAAAAAGATTAACATATATCAGATACCAACACAATCAAAAGATTAAGCTTATAAGGTTATAAGTCAAATATAACATATGTAAGATTATATTTACAATTCATCCTTCTTTGTTTCACACACAAATATTTTCAACAATAATGGATTGAAACTAAAATATTATAAGGATCTAAATATTGATGTTTGGCCACACAATCTAATAAAGAAAGCCCTCTTCTTTTAAAAATCAGGCTTCAACTATTTAAATGTAGAGGTAAGCAATGTTGGTTATTGTATTAGATCAATTTAAGAGGAAAAACATACAAGGACCTTTTCATTCTAGAACCAATGCTAAAGATTAATACACTATTCTAAGGGCTCCTATGTCATTTAAATCCATTGGATATATATATATATATATATATATATATATATATATATATATATATATATATATATATATATATATATATATATATATATATATATATATAATCAGTTTTTGTATAGTACAGCTATCAGTTTTTGTATTTAGATAGATCCCCTATTAACACACCTAAACAATTTTATCTATGTTGTTAATTTTAGGACATGTTTGATTGCACAAAAGTGGCTTCCTAGAAGTAGGATTATCATTATTATTGTTTCTTCTTCTAGTGTTGTTGAAGGATTTCAACAGTCAGAAGTGGAGTTAAAGGCCTGAAATCTATGATTAACTTGAGGCTATGCTAAATTTCTTGAGCTGGCTTCAGCATGTAAATGATTGAAGTCACTCGAAAGGAATGGACACGTCACACTCATCACCAAATAGATTGATACGTGACAAGAGAAGTGAGATCATAATGAGAAGTTTCTTTTGACAACATTGACTTACCTGTCATTGAGGTCCATCTTCCCACAAGGCTTTGCTCCCAACTCAAGCTTGCCATCAATTATTGCACCCTCTCCCACTGCCAAGGGATATACATGCCAAGTGACGATGAATCAGATACAAGAGAAAGATCCAAAAGAAGCTTAAGATCAAACTATAACGAAGAGAAGTCGACCAAAGGAAAATGATTAGACCAAAGGGTGCACCATTGTGGTCTAATCAATAATGATGGAACATTTACAATGAACAATGCTTGCTACCTTCCAGAAAAAACGGGTTAAGTAACATATTAACTCAGATTAAGGAATCTACCATTTCACAAACATCACGCCACCAGGTTGGATGATGTAATAAACAATGCACACAAAAGTTAAACCGAGGAAGACTTACCAAAATTTTGAAGGTGCAAAGACCAACCCTACCAGCATGGGCATGCTGGTAAAGTTGGCTGGTAGGAAGTCTGTATATAAAGACTCAGACTAGTTGCTAAACCATCACATCATTGTTGGATTGTATGTCTTTGGTTCTATGGAAGAGGATGACCCAAGAGAATTGCAACTGCTACACCTCCCCTCGACCCATATTCTTTCTGAAGCACCCATGTCCTTGGTGGGAAATGATCCATCTGATCATCCTTTGCTCGACCTTAATCTGTCGATGAGTGTTGGAACACAGCGATCATATTTCGAGGAGTCCAACAGCTTTGCAAAAAATCTGCAATTACTGAAGCAACAAACCGCAGAGCAGATCCAACTTACTGCTGTAGAGAAGGCTTACGCTGAGAGAATAAGGGAACTGACAAGGAAGGAGATAGACTCAGCAAAGAAAGAGTTTGCACAAGCTAGGCTGGTCTGGGAGCAAGCCAGAGAGGAGGTGGACAAAGTGGAGAGGATGAAGGAGATAGCCACCAGAAATATGAACCCTTCCTGCTTGGAGTTCACCTGCCACAGTTGTCATCAACGGTTCCGACCATAGCAGAACTCAGTTACCATATCAGGTCCAGGCTCTTTACGCATATGTGGGTCATCATCATTAAGTGATTTTTTTTCACAATTTAATGCTTCCATGTTGAGATTCAATCCAAAAATCAAGCATCCATGCCTTTGTTGTATCATTTATCCTAGCAAAATGTCTTTGACCATATCGGTAACACAGCCACTTAAGCTAAATGTGAAATAGGAACATCACTATGATCACTGAAAGGAAGATGTTCTAATTGCAAAATTGTGGACGTTTCTAGTTGGCCTGTCAGATATTGATATTTTCTTCTTGAATATTTTTCATGTAATCCATGAAACAGTAATCATCTTCACAGGAAAATTATGACTAGAGAACAGAAACCTCTGCATGCTCATCATCAGTGAAGATCCATGGCACGCCTGCTCAAAAAGAAATTGGAATGGGGTTCAAACAGACTCCAATACCCTTATTAAGAGTCACTGTATGGGGAAAATTAAGATTAACAAAAACAGTTCTGAAAATTTCAGGTAACCATTTCACAGTAAATTTCATCATGAGTTAAATATCACTCTACAATGTCAATAGTTTGAAATTATCCAACTGTAAAGCTTGAGAAAGAAAACAAAATATGAACACTTCTAGTTGTCATAGTAAAATTAACCCTTCATTCTTCAAAAGTCAGAGTAGATCATTCATAATAGCATGTTACCTTCAGCACACTTTAGAACTTGTTTATAAATCTAACCTGAATTAACAGAAGCCTCAATTCTAACTGGTAAAAAGGTTGGTATAATTAGGTACAAACAAATTATCAAAGGTTCAACTAGGACATGATAAACCCCTCCTCACCCAACATTTGTGACCTGTTTCCCTATACTCCTGCTAGCAAAATTTGGCAATGTTTAGTCATGTCAGTTGCTAAATGGTAAGGTACATAATACAATTAGACCTACTAGTAGATCAATCTTTTCACTCATTGATATTTTGTATGATCGTAAGAAGTTTGAATCATATTACCATCTCTTGTTGCAACCCTGTGTACCTCTTCATGCAAGCTGTAGGCTAACCAAGGGTTTGTTCATGTGGATGTTATCAGTAGGACTATTTCCAAGTGTCATCCACTTCAGACCTGAACACAACCGGTGATGAGTATCACTACTTCAACCCAACCCACACACAGTTTGTTGGGTGAAAGTGATTCTTAAACCTCTTCTTCAAACCAACAAAACGAAGAAGGTTGAGAAAATATTGCAGAAAAGAAAAGAAAACAGACATTGTGAAGAAAGAACTACAATATAACATCATTAATCATTCTGAAGATCAAGATTAAAATTGGTGGAATAGAACTAAAATAGAAACCCTGCAGCCGATAACTCACCCAAAACGCCTTTTAAAAGATTATGTGGTACTACTAGGTCAAGAAAACCTTTACTATGTTCTATAAGCAAATCAATTACAAGTATTGCATGAATTACAAGCTTGTTTATATTGGCTGTCTTTCTTCATAATTGATGTATAGCCTGACAGAGAAACTAAATACTAGTAACACTAGTATCATTGATTAATAGTGTTACGTATAAAGTTGTTCAGAAATAGTATCATTAATCGAGTTATTTATACCAGTAATACTAACTTATATGATTTTAATTTTTGGATTACATGTTCCTAGATTTTTGTATGACTTGACTAATCATGTGGTTGAATCAGCCTTGTCACTGGACAATCAATATATCACATGGCACATGCAGGACAATCAAGATATCAGATGACACATACTTGCATATGATACTATATCTAGCCAGTAACACAATTCACAAAAACAGATCCACAAGTTTAAGGCAATAGTTTGAAGGATAAAATATTAGATTATTATAGTTGTGTGTTTTTTATTCAAATTATTTTTGAGATTTTTTTATGTTAATATCTATAATAGAATAAAAATGTTTTAACCTTTTTATTAGAATTTTCATTCCGCTTAGCCAAGTGTGTCTTACTACACTAAAGTGTGTGACTTGCAGCACTTGCCTTGCAACTCACTCCCAAGTTTCAAGGGTTATCAGTGTCCTTATATATCTTGATCTCTCAAACAACCTCGGCTTCTATTTTCCAAATTCCAAGTGTAGTCATGATATATCAATAAATATTTATGAAATTTTCATTGCTTTGCAAGTAACAAAACAAGTTCCATCTCATGCATTCTCTGCCAGTGAAATCATGTGCTGTGACCTGTGTTTTAGCCATTATTGTAGATTGATGAAACTCATTCTTCTACGTTCTATAAAGTCAATTCAATGCTTATGATAACTCATTATAGAAATTTAACTCTTTTACAAAACAGAAATTATCCATTAACAACAAAAGAAAAGAAGACAACGATATTTAACAATGCTAATTCACAAGATTATTATGAACAAATTAGGAAATTGCTCAGGAGATGATCATCAAGACAGAAATCCTCTGAAGCCAGAACAAATCCAAGTGAAAACGTAGACACTATTGTCATTACTGGGAACTTGCTACAGTCACAGCCATGGATGAGATGAGAACTCAGAACCATCTTCTAATTTCAACTCATAATTCAACCTCTTTGTTTTTCTGCATGTTCACCGCTTTTTAACCAATTCTCAATCGTCAATTTCTGCAAGATCCCCTTTCGGTCAATCATCTGTATAAATCTCTCGTGTCCCATTCAGCATTCTTTAAATAACTTGCTTCTCTATCATCCGCATCAAAAAGAGTAAACGAAGCAGAACAAGGAAGGTACCTGGCCGATCTCTACAGCGAAAGACTGGAAAATCGAACACCGGACATTCGAATCTGTAGATATTCTCCGGGGTTCGAAGGATTCAACAACGGCGTGGAAATCGACGACGTCCAACAGATCGGCCTGGTTGAGGACCAGCTTCTTCGTACGATGAAATAGAAAACGGGAGAGAGAAAACGGGGATTAGGATTAGGGTTTTTGAGGAGCCTGTGAACCTGGATTTGGGTGGCACGCATTTTGGAGTACCTGAAGCGATTCCCGCCTGCCACGAGTCGGGGCGGTAATTCGAACTCTCCGGGTCGGAGATTGAACCGGTGAACAAATTAAACCGGAGTCGTCTGAACGGGCCTAAGTTTGGGCTCGTAATTAATTCCGGTCCGGACTCACTCAGAACCGGGTTTGATCAAGTTCGGCTGGCACTTACTTGAATGCAAAGGCCACCATTATCTCCAACTGTGAACCACTCGTTCGCACGAGTTTTCAAGAATTGTTGTGAAGCGAACGGTTCCGGGAAGAAAAATATCAGCGAGATGGCGCGCAGAAACGTCGCGATGCGTTCGATGCTGCTCTCGGAGCAGCCATGGCGGCCCTTCCGCCGCCCGATCCTTGCTGCCTCCCATTCGATCATCCCTTCTCTTCTTCCCGAACCTAGAGTTAGGGCTACGTAGGGTACCGCTCCACTTCGGTGTTCTCGCGGCGACGCCCCGTCGGCGGCCTCCCCTCAGGATGAACAAGGCCCGCCCCAGGAAGCCGTCCTCAAGGCGATTTCCGGTGAGTCTCTGAAATCCCCCATTCTGTTTTCTGTTACTTGATACTTTGTGGCTGATCAGTTTATTAACTTCTCTATTCCGATTGGATCCCTGTAAGATGCCAAATTTTCTTACAGCGTTTTGCCGGCGTGAAGCCGCATTCAACAGAGTCCGGATGTATTAGACCGGAACGGAATGTACCCATTAAAGCTATTAATACTAATTAGCCTTACAGGAAATAGGAGGGTGAATAGTTGCAGGAAAGAGCATCAGATATTGGGAAAATTCAATCAGTGGATAGCAATAGCAGATCGAAACCTACTTTCCCCATTCTCTCTCCTCCCCTGCTCTCCCAGACCCAATTCAAACTAAGTATGAGCTTGATCTCCCTCATAACCTAATTAGTTGCCCCAGCAAGTCGTGCCTGATATCTGTGCTCTGCCTTAATATTTCTGATGTAGGCCTTCATCATCAGCTTTCCTGACTGCATCTCTCTCGATTGGGTATATCTTTTCTCGTCTCTCCATTCCTTCTCTTTCATTCCTCTTCTTTCTACGGACAGTGGGGCAATGGTCATATGGCTTGAAGCTCTGTAATTAATCATGCTTAATAACCAAGCAAGAGAGAACCATTCTATATATGTTTGTCCATATATATCTTTAAAGAAGATATGTTTCATCAGGATAGTTACATAAGGCTCTTGAGATGTTAGAGCCTAAAATTGGATAGCAACTTCCGAAGAGCAGTTAATCCTGTGTGTCTTAAGTGTGTATGGTATTGATCCTCCATTTTTGAAATGTGGATTTTGAAACAGCTCCTTTTGAAATTGGTTTATAGAGGAGGTTATTGCAGAGGATAACAACCAGAAGTATATGGAAATAAGCTGACTGCATTTACTGCTGGCTAGTATTTTTGGGCTTCTATCATCGAGGGGCATTCATATCCATTCACTATTAGAGTTTAAAGTATTGGATCCTGATGTTTTTTTTTTTAACCTCCACCTTTTTAACATCTGTTGGCATTGGATCCAGAAGTATCAAATTCTAAAGGGTTGCACAAACCACAAATGTTGTTATTGGTGGTATGGTGATAGATGATTCTACTAATGAATGGCTTGTTCTAGATAAGAAGGTACAATGTCGATACACTACACCAAGCTACTCATTTTTCCGTTCACCTTAGTTTAAAGTCAATATTGCAAAATTTATTTTGTTTACATTTATGCTACTTGGAATCCACTTTGTTGCTTCTTCATGACACCAACGATAAGACATATGCCTGGCTCCAATGTTGCCTTTCATTCTAGTACATATAAGCAGCTAGGCTTTAGTTTGTTTTTTCGCTTTGTTATTCTAGAGCATAGTTACATTTGAGCTAGACGTATGGCTGGTTATCCTATCTAGATAAAGAACATTTATCAGAGAAAAGCTATATCTGCATTTGGTCTTCTAACTCTCGTGCTTTCCAAATACAAAATCTACTTTGGGCAAATGTATATTTATACTTTTCTTCTGATAGGAACATGGTTATAGTGCAGAATTATCTTGACTTAACAGCTTCTGATATTACATGGATGCTTCCAGAGTCTACTCAGGCCTGTACCCAACCTGTTTGCTGTAAATACAGATCAAAAGCTGGCCTGAATTTATTAGCATTGCATTTGTTCCTGCTGTGAGGTACTCAAATATTTAGTTTAAGTGGTCTAGTTGATTAGCAATGGAACCTTATTTAAATTAATGGTTGAGATGCTTTCTTTTCATCTTATTGGCTAGTTGATGATTTGTTTATACAAAATATTACTATATTGATCCTGAACGTCTAAAAGGATAACTCATTCATCTTATGCTTGGGGTGATTTTTTTCTCACCCTCAAATTTGATATTGAACTACACAAGGTGATGCTTGTTGCTGAATTGAAGCAACTCTCTTGTTAGTTCTATCAAGATGCATATGTTGATAAAGTTGAACCAGTTGAATGTATCAGTAAGAAAAACTTAGAACATGTAGAGCAACAATAAACTGAAAACAGAATATTGATCTACCCCTTCTTGATGAGTTATCCATCTTTTCTACTACTTAATGAGCCAATGAGAAAAACTAAAAAGGCACTTAATTCATTTTTTATTATGTTGAATTTTTAATGTTCATCAATTTATTTGTTTTACAGGTTAATTTGTATCCCACGGTGAGGCGGTTTACTGCAATAGGAACTGGAGATGACGAATTTGTCCAATCAATGGTTGTTGCTGTTGAATCTGTGATCCAAAAATCAATTCCAAAGGTTTTTGTTTACTGTTCCGTGAAAACAATCATGTTAGTCAAATAGTTCTTAGGATGCATGCAAAGTTTTACATATGTATCATCCAAGTAAGTTATTATAGTTAGTACCTTCTGGATTGATAAAGAAATATAATATGACATTTTAAGAAGCCATCCTACTGTTGATGATGTTGGGACATGAGATAGGAGTGTTGCATTACTCAAGATTCTGAAGGGATGAAGGATACAATGAGCATGTAAACTACCTACTTACATTTCTCGTCGTAGTAGAAGTTCCAACCTGTTGATCTCATACTTGTCCCGTGAGTGTTCCTTGCAGTTTATCTACTTTAATGACTTTCTCAATTGATTTGATTCTAAACTGTATGTGGGTGTCATCTGGCAGCTAGAACAGTGATTATTGGTAACTCAAGTCATGTCAATACTCTGAAACTGCTTGGCATAGCGATATCAGGCTGATGGGAAAAAAAAAATAAAACTGATGAAAGAAAAGTGAAAAAAAAATAGAATTCCATGAAAGAGAATGTAATTTTTGAAATTGGATATGCATATTATAATATCTATATTTTGGGACTTGGGAGACATATGAAGAGCTTGAAATTCTTTTGTGGAGGACTTGTAGCCCCTAAATTTGTTTTTTGTACAGATGCATATGTAATGGTAAGTCAACTACAATTGCTAATTATTTTTGTCTAGTTTTTTATTCTTCATTGTTCACTAAAATCTTTTCTATCGCTGAGCTTTTTTTTCAGAGGCAAGTGATCAATTTTTTTTCAGGTTACATTAGAACATGATCTTTTTATATCATATGTTTCTTTTTTGAACAGGGTAGGGTGAGTCAGGAAGTATCTTCAAGGGACAAGTATGTGTCAGCAAATATTGGACCTATTCGTGTTATCTCAAGTGAGCAGGTACCCTTCATTTTTTTTCTCTTTTCCCCCACATGCTACCTTTGAGAAATTTCATTCCTTGGATGAATATGCCTTAATTTATCTAAGACTGAACTGGAGGTATATATATCAAGTAAATCAGAGTGCTTGTTGACAACAATTATCATGTGGCATATGATCTGTGTTCCAATTGACCTTTCCAGGTCCAAGCTGTCTATAATGCCATGAGAAGATATGACACGATGAAGTACTTATAAATCATAATACACATGTTTCTAAAAGTGGTTATAATGGTTCCAGTTGAATTGACATAATCCATGGCAATTAGGAAGTTCTCAGGTATACAATATTTTGAATTTAGCTAGTTTCTTGCAAGTTCTTTTGCTTGTTTCCGTACGATAGATTTTCCAACTATATGATTCCTGGCAGGTTGAAGGTAAAAGCTTTATACTAAATGCTTTGATCTTCTGCTTGTCTAAGTTTGCAAAAACAATGTGTTACAATGGTTCAGATCACTGGTCGATAGGGTTGATATTTGTTCAGAAAAAAAAGAAAACTATTTATTGATGCACAGAAGTAATAGTCTATACGATGTACCCGTTTGATGCATCAGCATTTGACATAGCTTGTTGTAGTTATGCTTTTACATTCTATGCCAGGAATTTAAATGACAATGGCTAATTTTACCGCACTTGTCTGCTCTTAGCCATGACAGGAATAAAACCAGGGCTCGTGACTCTTCCAATCAAGGATGCTTCGAGAAGCTCTTTTGTATATCCACCAAAATCACGTCAAATTCAATGTCAACAACTGAGCTGAACGTCGCAAGAAACTTACCAAGCTTCTCAATCAGAGACCGCTCTGTTTCATGATCGTAGCCCAAATTCAATGTCTGCTCTTAGTCTCCCATTCCTTCCCCAACTCACATTCCATTTCCACCCCCTTAATCCCGACAGGACTTCGATTCCCATGCCCGTTTCAAAAACAGTCCTTCTGGTCACGTCCCACTCGTCGCATGTCACCTCTGAAGCTGAAGTGGGTGTGTTTGTGTGCAGAATGCAGCCACCGTACGTACGTGAGCATCTGCAAATCGACGGCTCCGATGCTTCCATCTGCAAGCGGGTCGTGTCATGGGAACTAAGCGCCATCAGAGTCCCCGGATACGTCTACCTCATGTACTTTGCGCCCACTTCCCGCCCTTGGTCATCCGCCGCTCTCATCATTCATCACCCATTCGCTAAATCCTCGACATGCCTCAACACGACAGCCACTATTTTCCTCGCCATATACGGTAGTTTCGACATATCAGATAACATTTAAATATGCCGCACCGCCTCTCCGAGCCATAAACAACTTAAACTGTTGGTCTTTTATCGGTGCGGCTCGATCCGTGCGTCCGCACAACAAAAAATATGCGAGAAAGTGTCTGCCGTCGATTTTCGATCGACGGATCATGATACCTCGTGCGTATATTTACGCCTAAACCACCCCGAGAACAAAAGTCGACCCGACCGGCTAAGGCGGTGTAGGGGATCGAACGGAGCGAGGAGCGAGGTACGGCCCCATCGGAGAGCACGAATCTCGCAGCAACACCCTCTCCTTATTTGTTGCCCATCTGGGATCCAACGGCGAGTAAGAATGTGCGGCCACGTCGGTCACATCACTGTCACACGCCTCTCGCTCTGTCTTCGTTGGGTGGTAAGTAAAGGCCGGTAAAACCCTAGTCTTTCTCTCTCATCATTTGGGCCAAAAATATCTACAAATGTGAGTGTATATATATATAGTGAGGAGAAGGCAGAAAAAAGAGTATCCACAACAAGCAATGAACCTGTACCCCAAGGGGAAGGGAAAGGTCCACCCGTCGCCAGCGGCGCCACCGTCTGCCGGTGGAGACGAAGGAGGGTCCTCGGTCCATAGCCACGACGCGCTCGCCGTGCTCAAGCTCCTCCCGGCAGCGATCCTGGCCCTCACGGCCGCGCTGACTTGCGAGGACAAGGAGGTGCTGGCGTACCTGATCACGCAGTCGATCAATGGTCCCGCCGCCGGAATGGAGCCGAGGCGGCGCCGGGAGGCGATGCCGCCGGCTCATCGGCCGCTCTTCGACTGCGGATGCTTCGACTGCTACGCCAGCTTCTGGTCGCGGTGGGACTGCTCCCCCGACCGCGAGCTCATCCACCAGGCTATCGAGGCGTTCGAGGAGCGCCTTGCGAGCTCGGAGAACAAGGGCGGTGGTGACGGCTGCAAGGGGCGGCGGAGGGAGCGGCAGGCGAGGGATAGAGCTGAGAAGGGGAAGGGGAAGCGGAAGAAGGAGCGGGGGAAGTCGGTGGAGGTGGAAGCGTCGGTGGTCCACGAGCTGAAGTTGTTCGAAGCATCGGTGGCCAGTGGAGCCGCCCGCTTTTCGGGCGAAGTGAAGGAAGCCTCAGAGACAGCAGAGCCCGCAACGGAGGTAAAGGGCGAGGAGAGGAGCGGGGAAGAGGAAGCGGTGGCGGTGGCTGTGTCCAACGAGAGGCGGAGGGGATGGCCGGACCTGATGGGGCTCTTCAACCCTCGTTTATGGAGCCTTTGGTGTCCGGGCATTTGAGGTCATTTTGTTTTCTCTCTCTCTTAATTTAAATGAAAAAAAAAATCAAAAAAAGAGAAAATATAGAAAATATAGCTTAATTGGGTGGTGCTGTTTTGGAATTTTGAGTCCGCAGATGCTGTTTAGAGAGTTGTGTAAATTGTCCATGTTCCCTATTTCCGGTAGTTTTGCTGTTTTTTTTCTGGCCGGGATATAGATATGTGGATATAATTTAGATATGTTGTGCTTTACTCAATCACAGCATTACTTTATGTCTAATATGGCCCATGTAATATTGCAATAGCTAGTTTGTATAAACCAGTTTCACTCAAACTACAATTGCTATCGTTGGAAGCTATTTAGTTTTTGGTTTTTTGTTAGTGTTTCGCATTAAATTGTTGCATGTACTCTGAGTTGATTTTTAAGGAGAATTGAGTTGGTACGGTGGCTGGATATTAATTAGAGTGGTGGGGGTTTTCCACTTGCATGTTTCTTGTTGAGAGTGGATTAGTGCCCTGGTGAGTTTATAAGTTTGGGATGGTCTCCTTCTGAGGTGAGAGGCCAAAGGGGTCTGAACGGTGTGTTGGTTCGGGGGAGTCAAAAAGGTTTTTTGGAACTTGCACCTGGGGAATTAATTATGTATATTTGGAGCGTACACTAATTAGTCATGATATATACGTAGTTTGGCTGTAGAGGATAAGGAAGGGTGACGTGATACTTGCCCTGGATTAGGTGCAGGTGATGTTAGATTCTTGATTATTATTATTATTAACGACAGAGATGGTGTTGAACTGGTTATTAGTGAGGTGACAACACTTGGGATAATTATGAGAACCGGATCTAGCCTGACTCAAACCGGAATGGAACCAAAATCGAATTGGTCCGATGATTTGTCTGATTTCAAACTGAACAGGAGTTTCGGTTTTTATATCTGTGAAAGCTGAAATCAATTATTTCAGTTTGAATAATCGGTTTTGTGATTTTAAAATTATTTTATGGTGAATTCTTAAATAAAAATGTTATGTTTCATAATTTCTTGTAGAGCGGTTTAGGTCTCGTGAAATGACACGATTAGCATGGTCAACTCGCTTACGGAGATGCCCGCTTCCATGGTGGTGCCCAAAAGCGTACATGTTGCTTTGGGACAGCAATAAAGGCCATTGCTTTGTTTTCTCAGTACTAATGTCATTATTCTACACCTCTTGTACTTTCTCGGTGTGATTTCGTTGCATGAAGCCATTTCGAGTGGCCCCAAAGGAGGTCACGGGAGATTGGGTGAGCCACATATCTGACTCGGATCACACGACATTGTCTATTGCAGTGGAGGGACATGGGATTGGGTACAATGTATTCATTCGGACTGTCATCCACAGAACAGAACATCCTTTAAGCAGCCGCAAGCGTTGGGAAGGAAGAGAAGAACGAAATCAAGAGAGTAATATAGATATAAATAATCAAAATCAAATTAAAGAATACACCCCCAAAAAAAAATTGCTGAAAAGTTTATGTGGTTTGATAATTTTTTTTTGGTCTATTTTTTATATAAAAAATTAAGTTTTTCGTTATATGAGAAAATTAAATATAAGAAATTATTTTATTTTAAGTTGACGCAAACGTAAATACGGAGAAATTTTCTCGTTAGAAGTACTTACTGCAATGAGAGAACGCATGTAGCGATCCTCCATAAATCGTTGCACTCTTCATCGATGATATCTAACATTATGGAGATGGGACACTCTGTTCTTGGCTCAGCTAGCCTTGTCTTGGGGGGTAACAACGATGTGCGTCCCAAACCTTTCTCTCCGAAGATTTCCCTTCCATGTCGGCCCTCTCCACTGCGACGTCGTGCCAAATGGATCACCACCACGCCACACCTTAGTCCCTCCCCTCTGTTCTTCCTGTCCTGTCGCGTTTGCTCTTCTGCATCAGAGCTCCGAACTCACATGCTGTTTTAGCGTAACAGTGTCCTGCGCATTGCTTTGTTGTTGCCTTCTCCGTGTTCCTCTTCACGCACCATCGTCCTCCACACGCCCCCGCCTTCATTATTGAGACATTGCCCCCTTCCCCTCCTTTTATCCTCCCCGCTCCACCCCCTCCGCCCTTCCTCCAGCACGCCCAGCAGCAAAGATGAAGGTGAGTAGGAGGCCTTTCACTTCCTGCATTTGCCGTATTCCACCGTTTCCTCGACACGGTTTCGTTTCCCGCTGCAGCTTCTGGGTTGGATGCACCGCAGGTTCCGCTCCACCATCGGCGATGTGTTCAAGGCCTTGGGAGGCGGTACGTTCACCTTTGTCTGTTTCAGTGCTCGGTTGGCGACTTGACGTGTTCCTCTGGGTACACCGTACCGCAGTTAAGTTGGGACGCTTGTCTGTATGTGTCGCAGGCGGCACCTGTAACTGCCTCGCCGGGCAACCGTCGCTGGACGAGGACCCCCACCGAAGCCGCCGCCAATACGAACCCTTTAAGGTAAGAAGCCTCCGCCTCGATGCGGAGGTGCTCTTTGACGGCGACGGTGGAGGTGGCGGGGGAGATCCGGCGATGGAGGTTTTCTTCGGGGGGCTCCTCACCGTCGGAACCCTAGGGACTGGGTCCTGGCCAATCGAAGAGAAGGGAGCGGAGGCTGACGCCAAGGCGAACGGGGAGGTGGACGAGAAGAAGCCCATGGTGTTGGCGGTGGAGGAGCTGGTCACGCCGGCGGCGCTAGAAGCGATCGCGGAGAAGGAGGCGGAGGCGACGGAGAGGGACCTGATGGTGGTGGGAGCGGAGCTGGAGAAGGTGCTGGCAACGGAGGCGGAGAAGGGCGGAGGCGGCGGCGGGATGTCCTCCGCCCGCTCCAGCCATTCCGGGGCAGCGGCGTGCCCGCTTCAGGGTTTCCCGTTCGGGTCGCCGATCGAGACAGCGTCCGGGGTGGCAGGTGGGCGGAAGGAGCGGCGGGCCTCTTTGGGGGAGCTGATCATGATGAGCCGGATCGCGGAGGGCGGCGGCGGAAAGGCGGAGGAAGCCGAGTTCGCCGGGGTAGACAGCGCGGGCGATGGGGAGGGGAAGCCGACGGCTGAGATGTGCTTGATGAGAACCACGATGGCAAAGCAACGCAAAGGATCGGACGGTGATGGTGGCTCAACTCATGCTTCAACGGTGGAGACGAAGATTCAAAAGGTACGGATCACGAGATCACCGTTCATTTTTGCACAATACATCAAAAAAATCATCAATTTATGATTCAGAGTCATCATATTCATAAACAACATAACGAGACATTGAATCCCAGTAGAGACATTGAACACAAGTAAACATGGTATCAATGTACGACCGTCTCCAACTCATCACATGCAATTTCAAGGTGCTTTTATTGTTATGTATTTGTATTTAAGATCGATCTGTCTGTCAATCATATGTCTTGCATATTGGGAGAACCAGGGAAATCCATAATGAGGGGTGATGTATGCATGAATTAATCCTTTTACCATTTGCTAACCGGGCAACACTTTGATCTTGGTTTTGGGTCAGTGATAAGTGTCTCTAGTGGCCATCACCCTGTGATAAGTGTCTCTACATTGAGCCAAGCTGTGCCCTACCTTCATTTGGCTCCATGTCAGCCAAGCCAATCTGGACAGTAACAAGTGCCAAAAACTGGTTGTTCTCTTATGCCTGCCTTACTATGTGAAGATGGCACTGTTGGTTGACAAGGAAATTGATTTGCCTAAAAGTGAACCCATAGATAAAAGTTTTGATTGGATTGATGCTTCTTTCTTACTAACCAGCATATTCGATCTAAAGCTACTTCTTGTCTGCTATATCTGTAGTAGCTACTTCAGAGATTTTAGTGTTTTTCTGGATAACAAGAACACTTGGCTTACTTGACAACCACCTCATTAGATCTGAATCCATCCAAAAAGGACCTTCTTCATGGTATCTGTAGGCTACTTGTAAGCAACAAGTGTGGTAGTTCTAGAACAGATGTTTCTTGAATAAAGAATCTGTCAGCAAGTCACCTTGGTTTCTTGAATAAAGAATCTGTCAGCAAGTCACCTTGGTTTCTTGAATCATTGTACATCTATGTGGAAAAATGTTTCTGAAATCTTGCTAACTTTGCTACACTGATAGTGATTTTATTAGTCTGTATACATGTATGATCTGGATTAGCTGTATGTTTCTTTGATCAGATATGTCAGTAGTGATTCACATCAAGAATTCTTGTCTGACTAGTTTCTAGAAAAACGATCCTCAACAACATCCAACCTCTAAAAGAGTTGTTTTCATGTTTCAGATCCTTCAAATTTTCCACAGAAAAGTTCACCCTGAGAGCAGTATCATGACTAAGAACGCTTCAAAGACTGGCAAGATCGAGAAGAAAGATCACACGGCTCTAGTTGGAGGCATTGATCTCAGTGGTACGGGAGGCAGCACACTGGCCACTTTGAAAGGTGAATGCAGAAAAGAAGACATTCTAAACGTCAGTTTCTGCACCGATCCTCCATCCAATGCTTTTAGTGGCTGCCATTCAAATATCAATGGGGAACACTGGATTAAGACTGACGCAGACTGTAAGTATCCCTTCACAATACATTCAGATGCAATCTACTGTAATCATTATATCTTAGGTAGAAGTAAAAAATGACCGGTTGCATTATGTTTGGAAATGATTTGCCAACTGCCTATCAATGTTTGTTCATTTTCTTCTTTGCATATTCTTTCTATAAGCTAATGAAAATAACTCACAGGTAAGGCTTAGGCACACATTCAACGCCCATCAAAACAAGACTTTCTATGCTGAACTTGGGAGCCTTGGCATCTCTTTTTCGTTGTTAAGTTTGTCAACTAAAATTCATTCTCTTTATTCTGGTTAAGGATTCCAAGAAAAAAAAACGTCCCAACACAGTTGATATGGTATCTGATTTAGGATGCCAAAGGATGACAGATGGCTCTTAGATATAGAGAGAGAGGTTCATATGTTGAATACTTATAGCACTTCTCTTGTCTCCAGCATTTCTCCAAAATCTGTTATTCCAGTGGTGAGATACACATACACGTAAGGTTAAATTTGTCTTTTTAATTCAAAGCACATCAGTACAATCTCATGTTGTTGCAGAAAATTTTCATGTGTAGATGAGTTGTCTGACCGCTCGATGCCTGTGAATCAGCAGATATTATGTGAACTGCAAATTCATCAAGTAAAAACTTCTGTAGTTGACATTTTCCATCTTAAAATCTACTACTGAAACATGTGTTCTTCTGCATTGGGACCTGACAGATTTGGTGCTGGAGCTGTAGAAGGGAAGGAGCCAGTCAAACTTCCTGAATCCACACAAGTCATGGAAGTAAATTGAACCTTTACAACGAGAAGTCGAATCGAAGAAT